CGGGGCATGGTGGTACATTTCATACTGTGGGCTCCATGTTATATTGTGGGGTCCATACACCTAGAGTACTGCATCCAGTTTTGGTCACCACACTATGTTAAGATGTTGAGAGTCTAGAAAGGAGAGCAACCAGGATGATTAGGGGACTGGAGACTAAAACATATGAAGAACGGTTACATGAACTGGGCACGGCTAGTCTAGTGAAGAGAAGGACCAGGGGAGACATGATAGCAGTGTTCTAATATCTCAGGGGCTGCCACAGAGAGGAGAGCGTCAAGTTGTTTTCCTGTAGTACAGTGAACTAAAGCACTGTTATTAACATCTGCTGCTTGCAATTACTGCAAGTTCAAATCTCACCAGGCTCAAGGTTGACTCAGCCTTCCATCCTTTCAAAGGTAGGTGAAATGAGGACCCAGATTGTGGGGGCAATAAGCTGACTTTGTATAAATATACAAAAGTATGAAGGCTATTGCTTAACGCATTGTAAGCCGCCCTGAGTTTCCGGAAAAGGGCGACATATCAATTAAAGCAACAAAAACAAAGAAACAAAAAAACAAAAAACAAACACCCAAAGGCCAAACAAGGGATAATGGATGGAAACTGACCAAGGAGAGATTCAACCTACAAATGAGGAGGAACTTTCTGACAGTGAGAACAATCAACCAATGGAACAGCTTGCCTTCGGAAGTTGTGGGAGCTTCATCACTTGAGACTTTCAAGAAAAGTTTGGACTGTGATTTGTCAGAAATGGTCTAGGGTCTTCTGCTTGAGCGAGGGGTTGGCCTAGATGACCTATTAGGTCCCTTCCAACTCTCTTAATCTGTTATCTTATGTTACATTTAGAATTTCTTATAATAAATATCTAGGCTATGAATATACAGTAAATTCATGGCTGGTTTGCATAGATAAAGGACAAGGACTTTATTTCTCTGGGCCAAATAATGAATTTCATGTTTTTATAGCTACATTAAAGGCATTCTTTTTTAAAAATAAAATAAAATAATAAAATAAATAAAATAAAATAAAATATAAAACCATAAGGCAGGGTTTTGTAAACTATGAGGTGCAGACACAAAGGGGAGGCATGAAGAACCTGTAAATTGTATATTGTTACAATAAATCCATACTTCCCAAAGTTTCATTGCATTGTTTTTATTGTTCATTTGTATTCATTTTGATGACTGGATTTTTAAAGGTAAGCACATTAAGGTTGAACTAAAAGGAGGTGTGATGACCAAAAGTTTAGGAACATCTGTTTTAGTGAAATTTTAGTTGGTTACAGAAACCACTAATGACTAATATTAATAATTTGGTTTAAGAAGCAGTTTTCATGGAAAAATACATGGAAAGCTGGAAACTAGAAGGTTAGTAATGTTTCTGCCCATTCAGTGGTATAACAGTAATGCCCGCTTATGCATTAAATAGTTGGCAGCCTAACATTAGGACTTTCTGTAGAACAGTGACCTTCAAAACTGTCATTATCCATACTCTACAGCAATGTATAGTCACCCACTATATAGAAAAAATATTCACTTTAAACAATATGGCAAAAACCAGAAAACCATAAAAGACTGGACAAAATGTGATATGTTCCTAGGATATGTTACTTTCATATTAGTTCATTTTCTCAGAAGTTTTATTTTTTTTGCAAAATGTGATTACTATTGCTTCTGCTCTTAATTAGTTAATTTGTTTAAGAGATGAAGGGGAAGGGAAGTCCTCTGAGAATCCATATTTGTATAGTAAATGTGAAAGCTATTATTGGGAATATATAACTGAATAACAGAGTTTTGCAATCTGTTCTAGGTTATTTCCACTTTGAATTTAAAACATATTTTGTTAAAGTCAAAGTTTCCCCCAGATGTTAGCAAGTTATATAATTGGTGATAACTAGATTTCTTTATTAACTAATCTGATTATATCTAGGGAAAATCATGCAGGATTTTTAGATAAATAAGCAATACTTTTACTACATATGAACAGAGAAGAGACAATATTTTTCATATTAAAAGTTCAGAATCAATAGCTCTGGCTGTCCTCCTTTCTTCTCATTGGTTAATGGGTCCAAAACTATACATTTTATGAACTGGCCTCAAAATGAAATTATTTAATTTATATTTTGATTCCATCAGGGTGTTATTAGTCGCCTGGTTATGACTTCAGTTTCTTACACTGTAAATCCTTGAAAATCAGAAATTATAATATAAACTTTAATAAAATTGAGGTATGATTCTGCACCAGTCAAAGGAATTTTGTAGTTATGTTTTCAAATATGGAACCTGCTAAGATAATTATTTTACAAAGTTCAAATGAAATACTATTTTTAAAAGTGTGGTATTTTTCAAAATGGCAATTTATCTGAAAAACCCCTGAGCAGATGGAAACAGTTCTAAACAATAATCATAATTTGCAATGATTTTTTGCATATCAAATTTCACCTCCAGGGGAATTTTCACTGTCTAATTCCTAAAAATAAGGGCCACACTGCACTCTTAGACACTGAATATAAATATGGCATGTGTCTAAATCAATAATGCTCTAAAAACAAAATTAGGCCTAAGGCCTTTAATCGAGACTGAAGCTCATAGTCACCATGGCGTGCAAGTAAGAGTGTCAGATTATCTTAATAAAATAATATATCACATTACAGAGCATTTAAGGGTGATTATAGATTTAAGGGTGATTATATATGTTTTGCCTTGGCCTTTCTCTGAGCCAAGCTTTGAAATGAAATCTCCAGTTGATACAAGGACTCAATTTGTTTTTACTAGCATGTTTATCTGTTTGCTTAAAGAATTCTTTCACATGGTCCCTAGACGATAGAGTTAATGCTCCAGTCACATGCTCGAGCTAAAATGCTGACATCATATTGGAAACAGTAAGAGGTCCAATACATTCCAGTTATTGAGGATTCTACCTGCCATCACAGACACACATAGACACTGACATCACACAAAAATGGAGAGAGCGACTCAGCAATTGCAAGGCACGCCATTTACAAGGGGAACTTCTACTTAATATTCCGCTTGATCTGCCAAGTTTATAGCCTGGCAAATCTGAATACAAATGTGGATGCAAATGAGGATTCATTATTCTTACATCGTCTTTGTGTTGAAGCTTAATGTAACTTGGTTCCTGTGGTTGCTCAGGGAATATAGCTTGTAAGACAACAAATATGAAAAAGAAAAAGATGGCAAGGATGGGGAACGTAAATTGGATGCAAAAGGAATAAGAGAACCAGTATAAATGGTAAGAAATTAGGCTAAGACTTTCAAGATGATTATGCATAAATGACAATGTTTCTAGCAGTGCATTATATAAAGTACATTGTTTTCTGCTCTCAGAAGAGAAGGAGTTAATCGATCAGCAACATTCTTCATAGGCAAAATGCAACAAACCCCTTTTACTGAATTCCTAGTATTGTGCCCATTGTAAATATCAGTGCCACAATATCAGAACAATTTTGGTTTCTTTACTAAATGTAGAACTATATCATTATATTAGCTTATCAGAAGATTGCACATTATTATTGTTATTAACATCAACATCAGCAACCAAACTGATTCCCTTCCCATCCCCATACAATATTATTGAATAACTAAGAAACAAATTCAGAAACTTAGGGACAATTAAAACAACACACTGAACATCCTATTAATTTAAATCACACATTTATTGATTACTAGATCTTCTCGCATGCAAAAAGTCAAGCAATGTTAAACGAAGAAAAGAAAGGCATTGCAGAAATCATCATTAACCTGTAAATGCTAAAAATTGTTTGGATGAACACGTTACCTTTTGTTCTACACATAAATACCTTCTCCGTATACACAAAGTACTCTAGCTTTTAATTTTAAAAGATGCTGTCATGCTTAGCATATGCAATGATCCTAAAGTCCATGCTGTAGGGCTTGCTTCTTCATCCATAAATAAAACACATTTGCATCCATTCAGTCAAATTAGCTCCATATAAGGGGGGGTGGGAGAAGATGGATATAATTAGTTCCTCTCTCAGGTTTCACGGTTTAAAACTCAAGCATGCCTGCTGTCTTGATTAAATCCACCATCGTCTTCCAATAGCTAGTGCTAATTCTTCCAAGGAAATATTCAGTTGAGGTGTTATTTTATTCTGCACTGCTGTTAGTTGTCTAATTTACGCCAAGTCCCTGCAGTGCTTTCCTTAAGCCATCCTCTTTGTCTTGCCTTTGAAATTTACAAATCTTACAAGAAATCAATACTTAATTGATTATTCACTTTTCTGCAGCTTCAAACAGCAAGCACGCATAAGATCCAGGCGTAGTCATCCCATTTTCGATGCAGGAGGTTGTTTGGTGGCAGGGATCTGCAGGGATCCAACAAAGCTCTGCAGTGGCATGGGGTGCCAGCAACTGATGAAGAAAATGAAGATCACACTAACGAAGCTGGAAAAAGTTCCTTTGTGAGACGGATCCATCTCAGTGCTTTAAATAATATCAATAATAATAATGATAATAAATCCTACGAGGCAATAGCAACTGGATGTATGGGAGCACCATTTCCACCCCTGCAGTTATTCCTTTGTTTCTGGCTTACTCTTTTCTTCTCTTGGCACTGAACTGGAGCATCCAAACTGGCACCGAACTCCGAGAACTCCACGCCGGAATTCTTGTGGGGGGTGTTTAAGAGCCATGCGTTATCTCTGGCACAGAATAAGGATGGCAAGCACGTAATGTTACAAAATGTAGGACAAATTCAAGGGAGAGACAGAGAGAGAGAGAGCAAGAGAGAGAGAGCAAGAGACAGATGGCGGATCTGGCAAGATGCCAAAGCCAGTGAAATGAATTACATTGCTGAATAACTGTACACCATTGATTCTGCCACTTGTTGCTGCTTGGCAAAGAAAAAGAAGAAAAGAAAAGAAAAAAAGGGGAAGAGAGAGAGAGAGAAGGAGGAAGGGAGGGAGGGAGGGGGAGAGAGAGGAACGGAGGGAGGGAGGGAGGGAGGGAGGGAGAGAGAGAGAGAGAGAGAGAGAGAGAGAGAGAAAGGCCCTGACGTTGGCAGGACTCTGCTTGTACATTGTGCAATCTGCACGGAACTTGGGACGCCCCACTCAGGAGAACAATATGATGCTTTGTTTAAGGCAAGCGTAAATGTTTGTATGCATGGGAAGGAAGGAAGGAAGGAAGGAAGGAAGGAAGGAAGGAAGGAAGGAAGGAAAATGAAAGTGAGCAAGAAAGTGTGTCTGTATATGAAGGGGAAAACAATCACTGCAATCTGACATTTTGTTTAATGAAGAATGGAAGGCTGGCATTCAGAGATATGGATATGTGCTGCATATTAATATGTGCTCAGAGATATCCTTCCACTCCCCACCCCCCCTTTTATTTTTTTAAAAAAAAAGATGAGTGTCACAAGAACAAATCCTTCTATGGATCAACCTCAGTGGCAGCAGGCAACTTACAAGGTAACCTATAATTGTTCAATCTCAACAGTGTGGCATGCAAGCAAGATTTTGCAGAAGGCAAGTAGGGAAGAGAAGCTGGTCCCAGGTTACAAGGTTTAGGGGTGTGTGTTTTCGCCCCCACCCCTGAAAAGATAGCTAGAATCAGAGCAGATTGTTCAATAACTGCTTCATACCAGGGATGAAGAGAAACATTATGGGATGCCCAGGGGGCTTTAGAAATCAAATACAGTGTGAGTTGCACAATTTGAAGTACATTATATATATATAAAAGCTATTTGAATTGCCAATGAGGTGATGTATCTGCATGCTAATTAGACCTGTGTGAAGCTTAGACTGCAGTTTTTCCTCTATTCTGTTGATACTATGGAATGTGCCTGTAACTCTGCAGAAAACGTATTTCTGCATAAATTATAAGCTTTGTTCTCCTTATCATTTTCTGAAAACAAACATAAAATGTAAGATCAAAAGGCATTTCTGAAACTGAAATTATTGATTGATAAAAGCCTAGATTTCAGAATCTAATTAAGAGGAAGCACAAACAAAAGCCAATGTTATTACCGAATGTTCCTGAGCTAGCGGCTAGATTGTGCCCACATTTGTAATTTATCCTTGTTTAGGCACCCAGGATATTAAAAATGTAATTAAAATGGTAAAATGATCAGATCACAAATAGCCACCTAGTGGCAAGTATCTTAGTTTAAATGGATTATAAAGCAGTTATCTTGTAAATAAATGGGGGGAAGGGCTGTTGGAATTTCCTGACAAATACAATATCTTGCTGCAAACTTGGAAAGCAATTTGTCTTTTTGCTAATAAGTTGTGTTTGGCTACTTAAGTAGGCAACATAATTTAGAAGCCTCGTCTAAAGGCTATTACATATTCTGTTATAGAAAGGAAGGAAGGAAGGAAGGAAGGAAGGAAGGAAGGAAGGGAGGGAGGGAGGGAGGGAGGGAGGGAGGGAGGGATAGATAAATAGAAAGGAAGAAAGAAAGAAAGGAAAGAAAGAAAGAAAGAAAGAAAGAAAGAAAGAAAGAAAGAAAGAAAGAAAGAGGAAACCATTCAAAATAACATCCAATATAAAATCGACCATGTAGTGGTCAATAGAAAGAAATTGAATGAATTGTTTATATGTTACTTAACAAAACAAGAAAGGCATCTAAATGTGGTTTTATATGGGGCTATGATATGTATACTGTGGCTGTATCTTTATAATTAAATATAAAATTAGTAATTGTTTCTTTTTAATCATGGTATAGTATATATTATATGTGTAGCGTATGTCTCAGAGCTTGAAACAATTTCTTCTTAACTTTGAAACTTAGCAGTAGCAGACACTTTCTTCTTGTCCAGCAAAAGCATGTCTAGAACTACCAAATGAAGCATTCAGGAAAGGTTGGTAAAGCTCTATAATGTAGAAATGTGTTAGTTTGTGCATCTGTCACATAGCTGAGAGCTGCCAAAGCACAAGATAATATGAGACAGCAAGACAGACATTAATTTTTAGCATTCATCATGAAGAAAACGGTTCCCCTCACTTTCTTATTCCCTTTTTTTTCCACAGGAAATAATAGTGGAAACACTCAAATCCTTCAGAAATGTGCAAATTAGAGCTCTGTCTGCAGTATTATGATCTATTATTAGGTGCACTTAAAATGCCAAATTAAATATTAATATGCAGTTAGAGTTGTGCTATTATTTTAAATCCCTGAAATCCTATGAGCACTTTGTGTTCTGGGGACTTATACAGGATATTTCAAGGCACTAATTGCAACACCTAGAAAGTTCTTCAAATTTGTCAGGTTACTACTGTTGAGAAAATCACTTCCAGATTGATATTGTTGGATATGGATATGCATATTTTCGAAACCTAAGGGAGAAGTCATATGACCCGTTCAAAAGTTTGGAGCATGGAATGACAAATCAAACAACATGCCTTGCTAATCTATCATTTATCTTAAAAGATTGTTCATGAAATAGCTGTTCTTGGGGACAGAATTCCTTCAATCTGCCTAAGTCATGCTGAAGAGGTTTCTCTAAAGTAGAATCCATGTATGAAGCAAAATAAGACAAACAAATATTTTCTTTTGGTTATTCCATTTTGATTCCTATCTGATCGATTAACAATCAATTAACAATGTGTACTAGTACTAAAAGAGGTAAGTGATGGGTTCCTTCTCAATAGATGAATGTAAACTTGAGTTCAATTATAACAAGCCAGCACTTTCTCAAATGAACTTAAGGTCAAGCAAGCAGGTGAGTTTCAATAAAGATCTTGCCAGAACCATTATCTTAACCCTATTCGATCTATTCAGCAGAATACATAGGCCTTCTTTCACCCTTTTTGAACCATGCTTGAAGAGAATAGAAGATTCCTCTGGAACATGAATGATGCCTTTTCATTCTTCATATTTTCTAGCTTTGCATTTATGGATCCATTCTACAATCTTTGGTCCATTGGGACTCATCCTACAGACCTAGAAGAAACAAGTATGACAGCTTTTCATCATGACCTTGTGTAACATGCTGCATTTTGTTCGGTATACTATTGTCATGCAGAATCTTCTTTCACTAAACTTATTGATTTGATTTGATTCTCTCAAGACTGCTGCCATTGCTGCATCTGATGCTCCCAGATCCATATTTCCTTATAATATTTTTCTTAATGGCAACTTGAACTGTAGCATCAGTGACTGCTATAAACCAGAAGTAATTGGGAATGGAAATGCTCCTAGGAAGATGTGATTTTTTTTTCCTGATGATTCCCAAAGTAAATGTCTTCCAAACCAATTGTTTATATTTCCAGGAATTGTGGATTAGTTTAAGATTGTCCAGTGCAGTGTAATAGCTTTTAGCCATGATACATGTTTGCATAACATTGCTGTTCATTATGTGTCAGGCATAAAAGGAATAGAAGTATACTTAAAGGAAGGTAGCAAGATGCCACAATTCTAGAGTAAATACATGGACTGTAAATGTTTGATAATTATATGAAGAATGCCCTTAAATCACAAGTTTCTGTTATAGAGATGAAACTCCCCTGACATATGGCACTCTTTGATACTAACGTGGCTGACTTCCAGCCCACTCTTTGATGCATTACTAACTGTTCCTTTTCTCTTCTCTCTCTAAAACCTTGTTGGCAAGACTTATCATACACATGTGGGACCTGATTATTTAATTCCTCTAATACAGTTTATAGGCCTAATTTAGATGCTTACTAATTGAAAAGCATTTTCATGTCCACAGATAGTAACATATGCCAGGCTGGGCTTTCAGGTCTATCCTCTTTACTTTCAGAGTCTCACTTCTCCATTCTTGCTAGCATTCTGCTTGCGATCACATGCAATTCGTCTCAACCAGATCTCCCCGTTGAACTGTTTGCACCTCTGACTCTGTTTAAAGATTCTGTTTAAGAGAAAACAAGAGTATAGGAAAGTAACATGTATCAAATTATATAGTATGTATGAAATTATATTTGTGCACTCTTTATAAAACTAATTTTGTTTCTACTGCAACTACAGATTTTTGAAAGACGCAATTGTTATAAAAGACTGTACATCCTTTTATATTATGAATGAATGAATGAAGCAGTCACATAGAGAAATCAGTTATATGATTACATTATGCTAGTGACTGTGGCCATTATATGAGTTTTGCATCTGGCACTAAAAATATTAAAAACTGTCAGGTAGATTCATAGACAATAATAATGAAGGAGAACTCAAGAATGCAATATATTAAGAAATTGCTATTTTTAATATTTTAAAATGATGAATTAAAAAAGAAAGCAAACAATATGAACTAAATCAATAGTCTTTCTGGTATTGACACTATGAAGTAATATACCATTTAAAAGAACACACTAAACAATCTGAAACATTCCTGTGGGCTTTTAACATGAGTTAGAGCCTGCTGGAATCACAATCTCATTGGTTGCATTTCATACAGAGTGTTCTAATTTTCACTAAGTCCTGATCAATTTGAATTTATAGCCACTTAAACAAATAGAAAGCCAGATTGTTTGCACGCAACCAAATTGGTCTGAATATATGACCAAGTTTGGATAAATACACAAATATACTTTCAAAGATATGAAGCTCTGGAACACTCCTTACAGGTAGATTTTTTTAGTGCTTTTCACCAATCTATTAGTATATTACTATAAATGTTTTAAAAAATGAGTTAGGATTATCTATACCTATATATACTGTACATCTATACCTATATAACTGAAGATAGAGATCTGAGATATCATCTACACTACATGAAATCCAGGTAGTTGTTTTCTGCTCCTAATACAGTATATTTGCTGACCACTAATGTATGCTATGTATAGTCAAGGCTATGGTTTTCCCAGATGCAATGTATGGCTGTGAAAGTTGGACCATAAGAAAGGCTGAATGCTAAAGAATTGAGGCCTTTGAACTATGGTGCTGGAGAAGACTCCTGCAAGTCCCTTGGACTTCAAGGCGATCAAACCAGTCAGTCCTAGAGGAGATCAACCCTGACTGCTCTTTAGAAGGCTAGATCCTGAAGATGAAACTCAAATACTTTGGCCACCTAATAAGAAGGAAGGATTCATTGGAAAAGAACCTAATGCTGGGAAAGATTGAGGGCAAAAGAAGAAGGGGATGACAGAGAACGAGGTGGCTGGATGGAGTCACCCGCAGTAGGCCTGAGCTTAAATGGAGTCCAGAGGATGGTAGAGGACAGGAAGGCCTGGAGGAACATTGTCCATGGGGTCAAGATGGGTCGGACATGACTTTGCAACTAACAACAACAACAACAACAATGTATGCTATTAATGTTTACATTAATATTAACATTTAAATACTTTTGTTAAATATAAGTTTCAAAATGTATTTTATTTCCAGATTTAATATTTTGCATTTGTTCTATCTGGACTTTGAAAAGTGAGAAAGCCACTAGATAACTAAAGGACAATCTGTAGATTAATCTGAGAACTATATATTAGAGAAAATTCATATTACAATCTTTAGCTATGCATTTTGGGATGAACACCCTTCAAATAGTATAAGTATGAATGGATTTTCCAGAAAAATTGCAGATTACAGAAAACATTTGTACTTCAGTTTGAGATGTAGACAACAAAACAGCCTGTGCCTGTCTTCAACAGGGAAGGGACACAGGGCAGAAAACATCCTACAGCCAAGAAGGTTCCACATCCATTTACATTACTCAAGTGACCCTGAGGACACAGATAAACCTCCAGGTAGACTCAACAACTCTCTAAAAGAATGCAAATGATCAGCTGTCTGCAAGGAATATAAATCCTTCCATTCCCCACCATCCAGTCAGAGCTGAAGAAACTTCTTGGATGAAAAGCAAAATATTTTCAAAGAAAAAAAAAGTAGTCCAGTTGCCTCCTGAAAAAAGTACCTTTGGGACATATTACAATTTGGTAATTCCTCAACAATCTGTAGATAGATGCAGCCATGATGGTGACCCAGAAAAATCCAATAATATTCCAAGTAATGGAATATCATTTAGCTGAGAATTAAATTTGATAATCATTAAATAACAGCATTCAATGCAGTTCATCAGAATTGTGGTTCATTATATGCCCATGTGGTTGTTTTTAAGAAAACATGTATGAGTACATCTGCCTCAAATCTTATTGATCTCCATCAGAAACTCCTATAATTTTGTGTGTAGCTTATAGCTTTAAACTAAAATCGTAAAATAAGACTCTGATTACATTGGTAAAAGATCGTGTCTGGAAGATTATTTTGGTTAAGACAAAAGTATTTAACATTTGCTTCCTAAGAACTTTTTCAGCGAAAAAACCCCCCAAAGGTACAGGTGGTTTATTTAAAACTTCATAGTTAAACTTCAGTTTTTCCAAAAACTCATTCCAAGTTATACATTTTATAGTCAGAGCAGAAATACTGTTAAGAGATGTTTATCCTACAATAAATAAATAAATAATACATCAGCGATGGAGGAAATGATTACAAGTTTTATTCAGCTTCTTACTTTCCAAATCAAATCCAAAAATTCACCTTATACCTATGTAAAGTGGATTATTTATGTAATTATCTGTCCAGATGTCCTCATCAGCTCCTATTTGCAATTATTTGATGACAGTCAGATTCCATGCAAACATATTAAGGCCAAGTACAAATATTATTATTGTAATGGCTTTTTATTTCTAGAACCATTAGAGGAAGGGATACAATTTTCTTCTGTTTATGTACCATTGCACAGAACACATATCTTAGTGATTAAAAGCACAGAAGTCATAAGAACAATGCAGTGATGTTTCATAAAATTTACATTTAAAAAAATACATTGTAAACGGTCTCTAGAAATTTGTTTCATCTACGCAGTGAAGGAAGTAGATGAAGGGGGATTATTTGTCCTAGAAGAAAGAGAAAAAGCCTCAGCCTGAAACAATTTCATCATATTTCTGTTGGTCCCTTTTTATTGCGAACCTGGCTGTTTATATATTAGAAGACATAGTATTCTATGTCTTCTAAGACATAGGGGTAACAGAAGTTGTTCTTAATTACTATCAACTTTTTTTCACTTTTTGTTTTTGAAGTTTTAAAAAAATCTTCTACTTACCTACTTTGAATGTGTTTTTAATCAATATAGTTTATAGTATTCCTCAATGTTTGAAAAATGTATTTTTATGCAGTGTTTGAAAATGTTATCAATGCACTGAATATTGCTTCAATAGTTGGTAAACAATGAATAACTTACATGTTTTTGTTTCTGTGAAAACTTAAAAATAGAGAGTAACCCTACTGTCATCTTGAATTGAAACTGGTGAGTTTGCTTAAGTGAGGAATGCAAGAACGATCTGTTTGCTTGGAGTTAATTGAAAAATGGAGAGCTAGCAGTTTTTCTTGTTTTTCAGAAGACTTTCTAAAGCCATCACTATAAATTATCAGAATACTTCTAGGCAATGGCCAGTGAATTAGAACTAAGCTGTAACATTGCATCATCTATATAGTTGTAAAATAGATTTAACAGAAGCCAGAAATAAATCATTGACAAATAAATCCAATAAACATGGTCTGAATATTGAACCTTGGCGGACACTGCTGTCCATTTCAGCCAAGTACATTTCTTGTCCAGTACATATTTTTGAGTTCTTTTTAAACAGTTATGCTTCTAAGATAAGTAACATATCCTCAAGAGTATCATTTTTAATTGTTTAAATTCAGCAACCTACAGACAATTAAATCAAATGCTTTGTTAATATATATTAAACAGTCAGAAGTCTAAACTATCCAGTAGAAAGTATTCACATAACATTCATTGATAAATCATAAAGTGTGCTTGGACTGATGTGATATATTAGATTTGAGTTTTTTAGTATGGAAAATATACAGTAGAAATACATTCTACTTGGAAGCAATTAGTCTTCTTAAATGGTCAGCAGAAATATCTTCCATTCTCTTTGCGGAGTGTTGGAAGAGCTGAGGACCAGGCCATCAATTTGGTAGATACACAGGGAGGCAACAAATTTAGATTATGTCAAAATGATGCAGATGCACATAAGAAGGGTCACATGGTTTGTTTTTGTGACATTCCCTGTGGAACTCCTGGAAACAATGTGCTTGGGAGGAAGATACCTTATAATGCTCTTTTCCCTTTGGGAAGAAAGGCTTCACAGAACTATTATCAGATTTTGCCCTTTTTTATTTTACCCTTGAGTCCAATGCACTGATGAAAAACAGGAGTGCATACAAACGACAAGCCCTGCCTGCACTCATCTTGCCCTCTGTCTATTTAGCTTCAGGGGTCCTTAGTCATCACAGATAACACGGAGAAAGCACAAAGCAAAACACTACATATTTTTCTCAGACTTATGAGTTTTTTAAAAAAGTTTAAACAAGATCATAATTCAAATCAACTTATCATGAATTGCATGAAGCATTAACATAGATGTATAGATTTTCCATAGGATATAGGTAACTATAGGCAACCAAATAACTGTCTATGTCAACCAGGTATAAAAAACATGCACGGTACTTGATTCATTTAAGTCCAATCAATATGAAATCACTTAGTTGTTTATTATTGTCTTAGCAGGCTCTATACTGAGGCTCTTTTTAAAGGCTGAATTTCCCTTTTTCTACATAGGAGTTAAATTCCATACATGGCCTCCAATTTATTTTGCTAGAGGGCCAAATGAAAATGAATCTTCATGTTCTATTTTTTTTAAGTTTCACATGGCACTACAGACAATGTAGTTAACTTTTATGCAATGACTAGTCAGTGGTACCTTCAAGTCAGTATTGGCCACTGGTGCAGTGGTGGGTTTCAAATTTTTTTACTATTGGTTCTGTGGGTGTGGCTTGGTGGCCGTGGCATAGCTTAGTGGATGTAGCTTGGTGGGCGTGGCAGGGGAAGGATACTGTAAAATCTGCATTCTCACCCCACTCCAGGGGAAGGATACTGTAAAATCTCCATTCCCTCCCCACTCCAGGAGAAGGTTACTGCAAAATCCCCATTTCCTCCCAATCAGCTGGGACTTGGGAGGCAGAGAATAGATGGGGGTGGGGCCAGTCAGAATTTTTACTACCGGTTCCCCGAACTACTCAAAATTTCTGCTACCGGTTCTCCAGAACTGGTCAGAATCTGCTGAAACCCACCTCTGCCCTGGTGACTGCCTAGATCAGTCCTGGTAATTTTCTTGGCAAGATTTGAGAAATGGTTTGCCATTGCCTGCTTCCTAGAATTGAGAGAGAGAATGTCTGGCTCAAGGCTGTTCAGTTGACTTCTGGGTAAGACAGGACTGGAATTCACAGTCTCCAGGTTTCTATCTTGGTGTCTTAAACTCCTAATCAAACTGGCTTTCTTTTTACACTTGCATTTCAACAGTATATGAACAAAAACACAAAAATTGTGCTTTCCAAAGTGATTCTATATCCAAGAAAGATAAGTGCATCTTATGATTACTAGATGTAGATGTTGTAGATAACAATCAAATGATATTTGACTTAATGTTTTTTGGATAACATCTTCCCAAAGGCATACTTTTCTATAATTTATTATAATTAAATATAAACCTCTACTGCATACAAGGAATCTGAGCAGTTAGAAAAACAAATATTCCATTACTCTTTCCTAGTCATTTTAAAGCTGTAATGTACTTTGTAATCTGTGCTTGGTTACATATTTCATTTTGGTATCTTAATCAAAAATTAAGAGGTTGAATTAAAATTTGTGTCAGATTTATTTTATTCACTAGATCTAGCAGATTGGGCAGGCTACAGATCTCATCAGCCAAAGAGTGTCAACTGGTGGGATTAGAAAATGGGCCTTTTCTGCAGTAGCTCCTGCTCTCTGAAATATCCTACTTTTGAGATTAGAAAGACCCCAACGCTGCTAGCCTTTTGTAAAGTTCTAAAAAAACTGGCTCAATTCCTGGAGTGCTGTGTGTGCCATTACCTGGGATTATTGTTAACTGGCCATATATATTTATTTTGGGTGTTTTTAAATTGTTTTTATTGTTTTAAAAGTAGTATTTTTCTTCATTGTAAGCTTCCTGGAGTCATTGATTGAAATAGGCAGCAATAGAAATGAATGAATTATTTATTTATTTAGCGTATGGCTGGTCACACACAATATAATGAAGGAATGAATGAATAGGAATGAATGAATGAATGCTTTATGGGAATATAAAGTTATGTAATATTCAGTAATGTGTAGCAGGTTGAAAGCAACATTTTGAAATGTAAAATTTGTTCCATTTATTTCATTAAAAATATTTTTTCCGAAATTGTTGGAATTTACAATATGTTATTTGTTCATTTATTTATTTAATTCTGTATCTTAATTCAGATGTCCACCTATTTCAGGTTCATGACACTAGGAAGCTAACAGTACTTAAAACAACATAAAAACATAACAAGAAGGCAGCCATAGCAGTGGTTAAAAACAAAGCTACCAGTAACAAATCAATGCAACCATTGCTTATACTTAGTCACACCTTCAGATTCCTGGATCTGGTGACAAAACAGTCACCAAATATGGAAAAATGATCTGACCCAATTATTACATTTCCAATATACTATCCATTTTAGCAATCAATCCTGATATAATGTACCAGTGGTAAAATAGCTTATATCAACTTTTTAAAAACTATAATACAGTACTTGGCAGTAGTGGGTTTCAATTTATTTTGCTATCGGTTCGCTTGTGGATGCATGCTCGCTCACGCAACACTTTTGCTCATACACACAAGCTTCTGTGCATGAGCAGCAGTGTCCGGGTGAGTGGGCGGAGCCTCCCACCGCTGCTGATACTGGTTCGCCCAATCCGGGGCAAACCGGGAGCCACCCACCACTGGTACTTGGTATGAATTTTGTTTTTCTTCAATTGAATTTTTCCAGTTTTCCATCTTTTGGGGTGTCTAATGAAATACTGGATTCCTAAGCTTCTTTATTAACTCTCTTTCTTTTCCTAATAGAAGAATTGGCATTTGAATTATGAGCAGGAAGTATAATCTTGTAACTAGCATTTAAATATGTATATGAATAAGCAATACATTCTATAAATAGCAATAAAGTGTGCTATACACAAAATCGTGCCTCTTCCATTCAATCACATCCAATTAAGATAACATTTACCATTTATCTAAAAATGGGTCATCTAAAATTGTCATAGGATTTTATTTAGTTAATAAAGGGTTAGTTTCAGATTCAGTCACATTTGGAAATGAACTACTCAAATCAATGAAATCTCCATTAGTCATGAGCAATTTAAGTCCCATCGATTTCAATGGGCCTATTCTATGTACAACTAAATCTTGAACCAAGCCAGTGTCATTTATTTTATAGCTGTCAATGCTGTCAACTTCCCACTGGAACTAACATCAAAATTTTGACTGCTATTTAAAAGACATGGATTGCAGCTTTATTTTCAGCTTTTTAAACATCCACTTTAACAGTTTTCAAAGTGAAGGCAAAGCCAGTTGTTTAGAAATCTAATTTCAGCTGTAAGTCTGAATGATTTGCCAATCTGAGACTTATATTTTGTAAAAGAAAACAATTTATTCTTTGATAACCATAAAGAATGCTAAAATGGATTAAAGTGTTCCTTCCAATTAAAGGGAGCTTTACCATGGACCATTCTTTTGGTCGTCCTTTAAAATGATCTGCAGTCTAAGCACTATGGATTAAAATACAATGCATTTTCAAATGCTATTCAGTATAGGGTATCTTTATTATAGAGGTTTAACACTGTAAATGCAGTTTGGGCTGATGTGAGAGAACACTGTAAGAGCCAAGTGGCTTCTAATGGATTTCAGGCAGACAAGAGGTCAAAATCTTCCCATGAGCTACTGGAGATCTGAAAACCTTTTTATATAACAATCTAGTTTAGCTCTTTCAAATGTTTTAATATCATTTGTTATTTTTGTATTAATTGATTTCTGAATATATTCACCAGCTGCAGAGCATTATTTATACTGAAATAATAAGACAGGCTTAATTGTTCAATTTATCTCTATGAAAAATGTATATCAAATGTAAAAGATATTATTCTTAAAAACTACTCTTGCTACATTATACAAATATTGTTACCTCAAAAAATTAATAGAGAAAAGGAGAATTTTGCAGTTCTTCCTGCAACATAAATTAAGAATGAGAAATTATTTTTTGGAACAAATAGGTGTTGATATTTGTTGATTCATATTTTATTTTGTTTAAATGTTCTTTCATTTCTGTTGGCTTACATGAATATAGGAAGCTGCTTTGGGCTGAGATCATTATGACTAATGTATGTCTTTCATTCCAATCTAGTTATTAAATCTATTTAATAACTATTTAATAACTATTAAATCTATTTCCCATTTCTCTCCAGTTCAATGCCAAAACTAATTGAGAATTGTGGCAATTGTAGTACCTCATATGAGCTGTGGTGGTGCCATGGTTAGAATCTAATTCTGCCGAATGCCAGCAGTTCGATCTTGACCAGCTCAGGGTTGAGTCAGCTTTCCATTCTTCTGAGGTTGGTAAAATGATGATCCAGATTGTTAGGTCAATGAACTGCTTAGACAGGGCTGTAAAGTACTATGAAGCACTATATGTCTAAGTGCCACTGCGACCACTATATTCACCTGGGACTATTTTGGAAAGCACTGGTCTGCATTCTTATGAGGTGCATCTAAAGGTTTCTTGTTGGGGCTAGAATCAGTTGCCTTACCATTACTTTACAGTAATGGTACAATACTACCATTACAATATTAGACAACACAGTATCAACAGTAGAGACCTTCAAATTTCTAGGTTCTACCATATCGCAAGATCTAAAATGGACAGCTAACATCAAAAATGTCATCAAAAAAGCACAACAAAGAATGTTCTTTCTGCGCCAACTCAGAAAGCTCAAACTGCCCAAGGAGCTGCTGATACAGTTCTACAGAGGAATTATTGAGTCTGTCATCTGCATCTCTATGTTTGGTTTGGTTCTGCAACCCAACAAGACAGACTCAGACTTCAGAGGATAATTAGAACTGCAGAAAAAACAATTACTACCAACCTGCCTTCCATTGAGGACCTGTATACTGCACGAGTCAAAAAGAGGGCTGTGAAAATATTTACAGACACCTCACATCCTGGACATAAACTGTTTCAACTCCTACCCTCAAAACAATGCTATAGAGCACTGCACACCAGAACAACTAGACACAAGAACAGTTTTTTTCCCAAACGCTATCACTCTGCTAAACAAATAATTCCATCAACACTGTCAAACTATTTACTAAGTCTGCAGTACTATTAATCTTCTCATCGTTCCCACCACCCGTCTCCTTCCACTTATGACTGTAACTTTGTTGCTTGTATCCTTAGGATTTATATTGATATTGTTTCCTGATTGCTTATTTATACCCTATGACTATCATTAAGTGTTGTACCTTATGATTCTTGACGAATGTATCTTTTCTTTTATGTACACTGAGAAAGTATGCACTAAGACAAATATCTTGTGTGTCCAATCACACTTGGCCAATAAAATTCTATTCTATTCTATTCTAAATTCATGAATTTACTTCACAAATTCATGAATTGTCTTGCTATGTTACTTTCCTTCACAGAATTTCTATGCTGAACTAGGTATTCAAAAGAAAAAGGAAAAGAAAAAAAGAAAAAAGAAACCCAGCACAGATCTGCTCTCAGCCAAATTGCCTTGTCAAACAGCCATTCAGTCTTGTTCTGTTCTAACTTGATGCCAGGTCAGTGTATAGTAAAACATTTTGTCATCTAGGATTTATTCCTGGACAAGAATGCCAATTGGCTAGAATCCCTGAAACTTCCATGGACCCAAGCAGCATTTAGCATGCCTTTTTCTGAGTTTGTGATGATGGTTGAGGAGGGAGACATGGTGATTATCAATAGTTTCTCTTTTAAGGCAGATTCACTGCCAAGAAAGAGCTAAGTCTCAATGCTTGTGTGTAGAATTGGATATGTATATTCCAGAGTTAGGTGATAGGCAGAAGCCAGAGCAGAACCATAAACCTAAACCATAAATCAGGATAAAGACAGTTTTCAATGAAAATACAGGATAAAGGAACAAGAACCAGTACCAAAGACAATTCAAAGTGAAGGAAAAGCTAGAAATGCAACAAAAAACTGTTTTTATTTATATTTCCTATTTCTTAACTACCAATCTCAGGGTACCCATCTCAGGGTAGGGGCTTTAGGTGGTGCACAATATAATCACTAAAATTAATATTAAAATCAGAATTATTTTAAGATTTAAAAGTTTGAGAATTATAAAAATAACAATATAATCCAAAGGTTACATCAATTAATTAGATAAGTAAATTAAAGGGACTCTGAATCACCACACAAATATATGCAAATAAACCTAGTTTCTTTAGAGGAGAGAAAAGATAAGCATTCAAATTCTGCACTTGTGGCTCTATGTTACAGTGTGAGACGGATCATTTTTGGACTATAGGTGTATTATGAAGCAAAGTTGGCTTCTAACTCTACTTCTCCTCTCTCTCCCCCCCCCCATATTTTCTTTCTGCCTCTCTCATCCCCTTTTAGACTTGATACATGAAAGAAAGAAGGGAAGGGAAGAGAAGGGAAGAGAAGAGAAGGGAAGTAAAAGAGAAGGAGAGGGAAAGGAAAGGAAAGGAAAGGAAAGGAAAGGAAAGGAAAGGAAAGGAGGCTTAAATTACTGGAATGTGCTGAGCATTGCTTGGCTTTCTTCCCAGTTCAGCTGGTGCACCATCCACTTCTGTGTTAGGGGAAGAACCTCTTTTTGTATCTTTGCCCAGTTTCTTACCCCAAAGCAGGGGTTCTGTTCTGATCCCCCTGTCTCTCCAGGACTTAGGGTACAGCTATTACTTGCAACCAGCTGGATCTCTTTTATCCCTCCAGAGTCTGAGATCTTGTATACTGTTTTTATTCTGGATCTTCTTCCCATATTGAGGTGGTCAATGTCCTCCAGAGCTCTAGTCCCCAACCCCTATATACCAGGGGCAGGTTCCAAATCCTGTCACTACTGATTTGTTCGTGCACGTGTGTGTGCGCACAGTGCTTCTGTGCATCTGCAGAAGCTTCTGGGTGGGTGGTCTTCCTAAGACCCCTCACTCTCTGAATGCTCCTGAGGATTCATGTCACCCCTGTCTCATGATCCCAATTCTGCATAACTTTCTCCTTGAAACCGGTTTCCGTTGAGTTTGAGTTTCTGAATTTCTCTTTAGAAGATTTATAGAGGCTCATCATGGACTAGTTCTTAAAAAGGAAGCGCAAATTTGCAAATATT